GCACAAACAATGAATCATGGAACCCTACATCAAAAACTAATGATGTAATGTATGGTGATTAACATAACAATAAAAAATAAAAAATAAAATAAAAAATAAAATTATATTAGAAATAAGACTGAATGTATAACAAAATAATCAAATAACAGATATTAATACTTGACATTTGACCCTCTGATGAGAGGAAAACACTTAGTGCCTACAAATACTAAATCCAAAATTAACTAGATTATTTAATAACTAAGTAAATGTCTATTCTTATTCCTATTGTTGCAGTTTTGTTTTCGCAGGTAGAAGAGGGAAAGTTGGGTTTAGAACTCCAAGGGAGAAAAAGAAGGCATACTTGAATAAGAATAAGAATTAAGAAGGATGTTGTAGAACATATACTTAGCAAATCTTCATGTGAGACCAGTGAACATGCAGATGGAGTATTTAGTCAGATCCTATATCGCATTAAACTAGCAATTCAAAATGTAAGAAGTCTGTGCTCCTATTGTCATAAATTATTTAGAATCCATTATTGCAATCTCAAAATCACTTTCCAAGATTAATTCTCATACCCTGCAACCCCCACTGCTTGGAATCACATAAATAGGGGAATAAAAGCCTAAGTGTGTGTGAGAGAGAGGCATTAAATGTAATTATATTTTAGAAGGCAATGTAAAAATATTTATATCCCAAACTTTTATTCAAATGTGTCCCAATTTTTGGTTCAAAACATAAACATATATAGAATAGTGTCTCTTGCAAGAAAGGTATTAAAATGAGTGTGTTGTGATATTCTTCCCTTTAGGTGCTAGTTGTAAAGATATTCTACTAAGTATTCAACAAAACAGATTTAAACAATGTAATCTGTACTCCTCTAGTTGCACATAATTTAAAACTCACAATGCTCCAGAACTGATTAATTACATATAAATTATATTTTTCTTTGTGTGTAACTCAATAGATAATTATACTTAATTGTATTGTGAGAGAATAGGAGTTGCATGTCAGAGAAGAGGAGTTTCTATTATATGAAATTAAGAATTTAAAAAGGTTTCAAAAATAATTTTTAAAACAATATTGGACTTTTGTAAAGAGTCCTAATTAGCCAGAAAATTTTGCTTTGGCTCTGTCCACATTTAATAATAATGTACATCTCCTCTTTAATTTGATTTCTTCCAAATGTTCTTATGTTAGGAAAACAGAGGAATCTGCATGATACAAATGAATTCACATAAATTTTTCTGCCCACCCCTAGACCTAGAAAATCACCCTTATATACAGCATAGACTGTATATAATCAATTTCCTCCATATTTTCTTTTTTCTTTTTTTTTTATTGTAAATACCTATTTCTTTTAGGCCATCATGATTTATTTTGTAATATTTTCTAGATCTATAGACAAGATCAGGTTAGAGGTTTTAAACTTTTGTGACACTTTACAGTCAATTTCAGGATAAATTGAATTTCTTTCCATTTGTGTAAGATAAAGATTAGGTTTTCCGCTTCAGTGACAGAGCTCTGGGAGACCGTGAAGGAACCACTACCATGATCGTACTCACCTGCAACTTACCTTCAGCTTGAGCTGCAAACATATCTGAGCTCATGTGGTGGTGGTGTGGGGGGGGGGGGCGGTCAGCGAATGTAGATGGGAGGAGGTTAATTTCACCTGTACAAAACCTAAATTTATTTTGGACCCGGAATTAAACTGTTGGTTCTCAATTAGGCAGAGGTAGCAACCTCATCATACAATTGATATTTTCTCTCAAATTACCAGTTATTATAGCAAATGCATCTTTCCCATTGAAGCTTTTCCCATGCAGGGTTGAACAGGGTGATAGCTCTCCCATTATCCCATTGTCTTTACAAAATATATGCAGCCCGCTACCTAGGAAACTTGAGTGTAGGAGGAGCTGTTCTGAGAGATTGCACATGGCTCCAGTTGCCAAGGAAACCCATGCCTTTTTTTCCTGTAAATGTGCAAAGCAGTTTCCTTATTAGGAATTGGGTTAACAGTGTTCTCAAAGGAAAAGCTGAGTGAGGAAGGTAGTAAGTTCTTTTCATACATAAAAACTGAATTGTAAACTCTGTATAAGCTGTGATGAATTGTTTTCAGCATGTAGGTTTTAGTGATAAAAGTGAAGTTTTGTGGATTATCACATACACTTTTGCTCTGACATAATTAAACATGTTAGAAAATGTAAAATCTTGCTCTTAAATGAAAAACAGACCATAAGAATATAGAGAAAATAGACTCTTCTCAATAATAAATGACAGATACCAACCATGTATATAAGACTTATCTAAATCCATGTGTTGCATGTGCACTTTTTGAATGTTATGTTACCTCAAAATATTTTTCCTTAAATGCCTTTATATGTAGGAATTGCAATTAAGTTTTAAGGTTAGCCCTCTTTTTTAAACATCCCTCTGTTATTATTGTGTCAGAAATCACATATTTCATATTATACTAGCATTTTATTTTTTATGCTTTTGGGGTAATTAAAATATTCTAAAATAAAAATATCCCAAGTCATATAAATATCACATCAGCATGATCTATCATAATTTGTCACCATTCATTAAGCTGCCACTTACCAACTATATAAAACAACTTTAGCAAAAATTCCTAAAAATATTTTTCAAAAATATAACAAAAAAACACATAGTATGAGAGAAAAAAAAAAACACCAAAATGTGGGGATCTTTGCATACTTAGCAAGAAGGCCATTTCTTGGAAACATTAGCCCTGCCTTCCATGTTAAAATATAAGCACTGTGTCCTTAGGTTTCCAACCCAAATGCAGATAGAGTTATATGCCAGTATTTTATTGCAACCACAGTAGCAAAATTTAACTTTCTTCCTCTTGGGAAATAATTCATGAAGAACTATAATTCTTTGAGTATTCTATTGAGTAGCCAAGGTGGGTGAAAGTAGGCACCTTCATAATCATTGTGGAGGGTGTATTGTAACACCCTATATAGAGTACAATTTGGAAAAATATCTTAAATGTCTGAAGATATCAATAGTTTTCATCCGGCTCAGTAATATAATTTCAAGTCACCTTTCTAACAAACTATATGTACCAGGATAACCGTCAATCTTTTTATTTAAAAAAAAATCAAATTCCAACACATGACCATGGCTAAAGTTATGGTAAAAGTATACAGTAGGTAGTGTGTTAATAGTCATTAAAAATAATCACAGTGAGAGCACACTCACCATGATGAGCACCGAGTTATGGCTAGAATTGTTGAATCACTATATTGTACACAAGGAACTAATATAAAACTGTGTGTTAACTATACTGGAATTAAAAAAAACTTAAAAAAATAATCATAGTAAGAAAAGTACATAATCACACGGAAATTGTTCACTATAGAATAAGTGAAAAGTAAAAGATATGAAAACCATGACATGAGAAAATCCTGGAAATGTATGAACCAAAGGGTGAAGAGTAGATAGCTTTGTGTATTACTTTTTCTTGATGTTTTTCTACTTCTTCCAAGTCTTTTGCATTGAACATTTATTACTCTGTATTTAGAAATGTTTTAAAGTGTTATAAAGGACAAAATTTATGAAGAGTTTAAATGACTTAGAGGGATACTTAGATTATAATGAAGAAAAGCGGGTTTGCCCATGGTATAGACATAAATATCACAGGGACAACAGCCCCACTGTGAGCCCCCATCTTGGAGGAGCTGAGCAGTCTGCTCTCAGCTATTGCCCACAGACAAGAGAGGCCACCTGCAGGAAGAGTACAAGTTCTTGACACCTGAGGAAGCCTCAGAGAGTTGATATGACTGAGGCACTGGAAGTAGAGAACACAGAATAAAAGTAAAAGAACCAAACCCCTTGAAGCCTCCAGCTGAGAGCAAAATGTTACTGAATGAGAGGCACCTAAATATTATTACTACAGACTTTTATAAAGGAGATAACTGTATGGAAAATTCAAATGATAGGAAGGCAGGCTTATGCTTAAGAACTCGGGGAACTATTATGTGATTTGTTCTGATTTTATGTTTTTTTTTACATTTATGTGATTTATGTATAAATAAATGCATTTCACTAAGATCTGAAAACCCAAAATATTTTCCTAATGAAAGCAGCATCAAAATATGGGATTTGGGGATAGTGTTTGAGGATCTCTACATGGCCACCAGCCTAACTGATACACAAGTCCTAAATAGTCTTATATAGCTGGTAATACATGAGTCCCAGATGGTTTTACATAAATGCTACACTATAAGACATGTATTTGGAATATGAAATGCTTTGTTTATGAAATACCCCTCTCGTCACCAAACATGCTGGCAGAAGACAAATACCCTTGAATGAAATCATCTACCAAAAATTATAGCCTAGCTGATAGAACAGATGAGAACAATGTCAAGCAAAAACCCAAAGGAAAGATCCTTTCAAAGATATATTCAATAGCAGATATGACATAAAATTCAAGTCTTTGTTTTTGAAATCTACAGAATTAAATGCTAACATATAATTATTGAAAAATTAGTAACTCCAAATTCAAATGTGCAGCCCAGTGATTTCAGTGAATGCTGACAGCAGTAACAAAATCACCCCATCATTATTTTTCAGAGGTCCCAAAACAAGCAAAGTGGGTAAATACAATATTTACTCCGAGATGTATCTGTGGATATCTACCTGCCAGAAATACCTAGCTGATGAAAGCCACCCAGCAAGGAAGTCATAGAATAAAGAGCACTGGAAAAATGAGCAGTATGTCAATGATGAGGGGAACTAAAAAGGAATTGCTTAATCCACTTTAACTGTCCTAGGATCTCCGTGGTTCTCATGAACTGGGAAAAATGGTCCTCATGTAAAGTAAGAGCACCCACTTTAAAACTAACTATAACTCCAGGCTTGACAATAACGTTCCCAGACACTTTTGTCCTGAAACCATGGGGAAGTCTGTGTAGCCCTTATGCTAGTTCCTAATAAAACAAGGAGAAAAGCCTTGACTCCTTGGAGGATAAAACTAGCAGCCGCAGGTGCTCTGGAGGAGAAAGTCCAGCTTGGTAGCATGGGCCAACGTCAATAGCATAAATCCTTCTACCACAGCCAGTGATAAGCTGTCAATGGGACATCACTAAGTAAAGGAAGGAAGGGACGTGCACAGTCAGCTCAGCCTCAGCCCACTACTGAGATCCATTTGTCCTTGAAGCACTAGGAAAAAACTACCACACAGCATAAGGTCAACCCAGCTGGATTGCTTCATAGTTTTATGTTAGAATGCTCCCCTTTTAAGCAATAAAGGAAGAACACATTGAAAGTCTTTACCTAAATAGGAAGGAAGGAGTTTCCTAGACCTTAGTGTTCTCAGATTGTCAGTAACCTAGATCCAGAGATGACAAACAAGATACAGACAATGTCTGCAAACAATCTGAGAAGTATGAGAGTCTTAAAAACATATATCTCTATCACTAAGAAAAAGGAGAGGTGATTAAAGCAACCCCGGGAAGAGGTTTCCAACTCTTTTTCATTTCATGACTTTTACTGAGAAAACATCCCTGAGTGCCACAGCAGGGCCAGTTAGCCGCCTCAGGTACATTTCAGAGTGCTGTTCAAGGTATTTGTCCGATATTGATCCAGGTTTACACCCATTCTCCTAGAAATTCAACTGCGTCATCCAACGAGGTTTGCTATGAAAGGAAAAGTCATACAAAATGAAATGAATGATCTGGTATAGTAAATTAAATGTGCTCTAGATAGGAGTGTATAAAGACACATGAAACAAATCCCATGACAAAGTTCAAGGTTTATCAGAAAGACTGGGATATATCAATATGCCACGGCTGCAAGTAGCAGGAACTCAAGCTCCAAGAGCTTTCTCTAACAATAGTGCCAAGTTTAAATACTAAAAATAGGGAATCTGTTGTGATCTTAAAAACTACAGTAATTTGGGCATAAGCCTTTCAGAGATGGAAAAATTTAAAGAAGGAAGAAAGGGAAGAAAGTGTTGTATTTGTGCTTGTCACATGGAGAAAAGTAGAGAAGTATAACAGTGTGAAAGTTTTCCAGCTGAAATCTTTTTAAGCCAACATAAAAGTTTGAATATTTGTGCTAATCTGTTTCCAGAATTTACAGCAGGTTTACACGATGATGGCACTATTGACATTTTAAAATAGATAATTCTTTGTTGTGGAGGGCCGTCCTATGCATTTTAGAATACTTGCTGGCATCCCCCCCCAAAATTAATAAATAAAACTTCAAAAAATAAAGAGGGGGGCACGTGGGTGGCTCAGTCAGTTACACATCTGACTCTTGATTTTGGCTCAATACATGGGCTCAGGGTCATGAGATCAAGCCCCACGACAGGCTCCACGCTCAGTGAGGAGTCTGCTTGAGATTCTCCCTCTCCCCCTCCCTCTGCCCCTCCCCTCCCCTGCCAAGCTGCATTATATTCTGTATTGTGTACAATAAAGAAGTTTGCTTTCAGTTTACCAAGTGCCTGAAAAAAAAAAAAAGAGAATCACCTACATAACCCTACCACCCCACCGCCTCCCTTTTGGTAACCATCTGTTTCTTCTCAAGAGTCAGCTTCTTGGGACCAAGCTGGTGGGAACGAGAAGCTGGTCAAGCTGGAGCCTGGGCTGAAGGCGTGCGGAGGTGATGACCGGATCTGGGCCCTGATTCACAAGGTCACGCACCTGTCCACACTGCAGGTGGGGTCTCTCAATGTCAAGTGCCTGTCGACACCACGCCACACTTCTGGACACATCTGCTACTTTGTGAGCAAGCCCAGCAGCTCTGAGCCTCCTGCTGTGTTCACAGGTGACACCTTGTTCGTGGCTGGCTGTGGGAAGTTCTGCGAAGGGACAGCAGATGAGATGCACAAAACCCTGCTTAAGATCCTGGGCCAGCTCCCTCCAGACACAAGAGTGTACTGTGGCCATGAGTATACCATCAACAGCCTCAAGTTTGCGCAGCACATAGAGCCCAACAATGCTGCCATTCAGGAGAAGCTGGCCTGGGCCAAGGAGAAGTACAGTATTGGGGAGCCCACAGTGCCATCCACCGTCGTGGAGGAGTTCACCTACAACCCCGTTCATGAGAGTGAGGGAGAAGACTGCAGCACCATGCTGGCGAGACGGACCTGTGACCACCATGAGGGCCATCCGCAAAGAGAAGGACCATTTCAAGGTGCCCCGGGGACTGAGACGGCTGTGGGGCCTGGGCTGCCCGTGGCCGCCACCTCTCTCAAGCACATTTGGGTATTCAGATGTTTTAAATAAATTTCCTGCCAGGAGTGCAGGAAATCCAGTCTTGGTTTAATTTTAAATTAATCTCAGGGCCCTTTGCCCGTGTTATCAGATGTTCTAATGCACATTTATAAGAGAAGTTGAAAGTGTAAAGGGAGGAACTCCCAAATCATGACAATTAAAAATGTCTCCAGACATTGGTAAATGTCCCCTGATGAACAACAGTGTCCCTAATTTAGAACCACTGACTTATATTTAATTGAAAGAATTTATGCTCACTCGTTTTTATTTGTCTGAAAATATCTTTATGAGAATAAACAGATTAATAGCCATTCAATCTGGCCATAAAAATTTCTCTAGAAATTTTGTTGTGAGTCTTACCTGAAATAAACATAATAATAAACTAACATTTACATAGTGCTTTCTGTGTCTCAGGTACTATTCTAAGTACTTAAATAAATAGTTTAATAGTTAATAGTTTAATCCTTACAATAACCCCTTTTGTATATGGAGAAATTGAGGCAGAGAAATTAAGGTTTTCATGATTGCACAACTAATAATTGGTAGCACTGAGAGTGGTATCCATACTTTGTGTTTCTAGAATTTTTGTATTCACACAATATGCCCAGAAAGAAATACCAGTGTCTGTGAAATCAAGTGACTTCTGAAATCTTAGCCCTTTCAATTGAAATATTAGAATTATTCAGTCACTCTGAGCCCTGGCCATATTTTGCCTGGATTATTGCAGTAGTCTCCTAAATAGCCTCTGGGTTTCTATCCCTTCCCTTCCTCTGTAGTCTCCTCTCTACAAAGCAGGGAAGCAATCCTTTTAAACATGTCAAATCATGTCACTCATTTCACAAAACCTTGCAGTGGCTGCCCAGGTCACTCAGGTACAAACACAAGTCCTTACCATGACTATAAAACCTGGAGTGGACCTGTCTACGTCCCACAACCATCTCTTAATTTGTCCTGCAGTCACCCAACTTCCACGTTGATCCATGGCCTTGACTTAATGCCTTGGTACTCACCACTCTTTCTACCTGCAAGGGCCTTCCCTCCAAAGACTCGCCCCTCACTTGTTTCAAGTCTCTGCCCAAAAATCACCTTCTCAGCTGGCCCTCCCTGGCTACTCTTTGTGTGCAGCCACACACCCATCTCTTCAGCTCTTCTTTTCTCTGCTTTATCATTCTTCATAGCACTTATACCTACCTGAACTACTTTATATTCAGCCATTTTTATGCTTTTCACCAAGTTCATCCCATAGAATGTAAATCCCATGAAAGTAGACTGCCTTTGTTCACAGCTCTACGCCAGCACTTAGAACAGTGTCCAGAAAAAAACATACTTGTCCCACAAATATTGTTGACTGAATATAGAATATAAAAGTAGAATGATGGCATGAAGTTCATAGCACTTAAGTGAGATAATAAATGTGAATATGGCTAAAAAAGGGCCCTTGCTTCCTTCAGTGATAATTTCTAATCAATCAATGATAGTAGAACAACAGTGTACTTTTAACTTTGCAAGAAGATATTCAATGTTTTATAGCAATCAACTGGATAATTAGAAATGTTAGTACTAGTGGTGGATTTATAATTGGTGTAATTACCTGTGGATAGTGAGCCCCTGGCCTCTCTGAAGGGTCAGAATCTTCTTGCTCTTCGACTACATCACGTAAACACATTTCTAATCACCGGTTTTTTTTCCAACAAATACTGTGCACACTCTCAAATCTTAAGATCACACAAAACTAAGGAAAAGAAAATACATTGGATGAGATCAGCAAGAATCAAATAGATTTCAAAAATATTCACACCATTAAATTAAAGATTTAACATACTTAGACTAAAAATAGTCCCTAAAATTGAAAATAAAAATGAATACAGAAATATGCTAAATTTATTACCAGAAAGCTCAGTATTTTAAAATAAATTTAAAGATGTTAATCTTTGTAAGTAATCAGAAAAATCCAAATTGCAACATGCGATGATAATTTTCATTTTTGTCACATGGGCAATAGTTTAAAAATTGATAATTTTCAGTGCTTACTGTAACAAATATTCTCTCATCTATTTTGGATAAGAGTGAGGATTGATGAAATTTATCTGGAATGAAATTTGACAGTGTTTATTAAAATTGAAAATGTGTGTATATATTGACAATTTGTCTAGGATTCCTCAATATCTGCATGGGTTTCTTAATTTAGGGGAACCCAGGACCATATCTCCTACACAGAAGCTTCAGTGCAGCAGATACCCCTCTTGAAATTTTTTTAAATAACAGTAGTAAGTCTTGGCCAGTCTGATACTTCTGCACAGGACTTTGATCCCTAAAAGAATGGATATGATATGCAGGGACAGTAAGAGGTTATTTGTCTTGCCAGTGGTAGGATTTAAAATCCAGTGCTATAGTAAAGGTTTTTCACTAACATTTAGCACTAATATTTGTAAAATTTTAAGTCCAGAGAAATAATGAAATGCATATTATTTAAGTCTCAAAGATGTACAAACCTGTGATGAGATATTGATTATTCCTTACCTTACTTTTCTCATTGTTTTTCTAAGTTCGTGACTCTGAAATTCCTGATGACATTCTGAACCACAGTATTCTTATGATAAAGTATTTTTGCCCCTAAATTAATTAAATTAGTTCCTGTATTGCTATCAGGACCCATGACTGAGATAATGTACCTCCCTTTGGACGAGAAATCCGATTTCTAACCTAGTATATAGAGATACTTAAACAAATGTGAAAAAAAAAACCCTAAATTATGAGGAAGTTCAATGCTATATTATTTATATTCAAGACAGTGTGAGCCTTGATAGGGTAATCGTGACATATAGCATTCTTATAAAATATAATATAGACATGAGAAAGACTTTCATCTGTATTAATATTATTTTTAATATTAAAGTTCCAAAGCTTGATGTATATGATCTCACTCCATTAAAAAGAAAAAGATAGAGATGTGTGTGTAGTTGTTTGCTTGGAGAAAAGAGATGTAAGAGATTGTTTAGGAAAAAAGTATAGAAAGAAATCACCGATTTACTAACTTATTAAACTGGTTATTCCCTTATCTGTACATGAAATGGCCATGTTTTAAAAAGTGAGAATGTGATCTTACTTTTAGGAAGAACAAGAATGGGTAAATAATACTAATGTTCTTTCTTTACACTGATTAGGTCAATACGTTTCTGTTCCCAGTGAAATATTTTAAGAAGGACGAAGTAAATTAAAACACAATTAAAAGAGGATGACTGGATGTCAGTCTAAAACCAGGCCAGACCAAAAAAGAGGTAGCATAATTATAACCATTTAAATGAAAACCTGAAAGTATACAAAAATCCACTGGAGTTTTTCCTCTCTATATATACATAATGGAATATTATTCAGTCTTAAAAAATAAGGAAATTCTGCCATTTGTGACAGGATGGATGGGTGGATGGGTGGAGGTACCTGGAGAACATTATGCTAAATGAAACAAGCCAGACAAAGATAAATACTGTATGATATCTCTTATATATGAAAAAAAAATGTTGGTATACACACTCATTTATAATTCTCTCCTTTTTAGTGTTGGTGAGGCCTGTGTATGTGATGGAAAATCACATCAATAATTAGGTTACTAATTAACTGATTTCCAGGTAATCATAATGAGATCTAATCTTATCTAACCTACATCTTTTTCTGATCCTATTTAAGTTGTTGGCAGAATTTAGTTCTTGCTATATAGTGTGAAGGTTCCTGTTTTCTTGGTGGATGCTGACAGAAGATCTCTCTCAGCTTCTAGAGACTACCTAAAATTCTCTTTCACATGGCCCTATCACAGCCAGAAGGAAAGTGTTCTTCTGATGTTTCTTTCACTCTTCATTTCATGTTTATGATAAGTTTTTGTGTAAAGGGCTCATTTGATTAGCTCTCTTTTAAGTGGGTGCTTTGTAAAATATAACTTTGAGGATCATTTAGCATGGCCTTGTGCCGTGTATCTAATTATTTGCTTATTTGTTTGGTTTATTCTGTAGTACCAGACCTTACCAAATTTTCATCTATTATGTAAGCTTTATATTTCTAGGTAATTCTTTTAAATATTAGACTCATATGAAGGGCAAAAATAGTTCAGTGAGTCCCCACGTACCCTGAATCTACTAGCTTCCCTCAATGATAGCCTCTTACAATACCACAGTACATTATCAAAACAGGAACCTTCTTTTTTGATACATAGTTCTAGAAAACTTGGATGGATGGATGGATGGATAGATAGATGGATGACACAAATTGCTTCATAATCTCAAAGAAACCCCCCAATGTTATCACTTCATAGACTTACCCTCCTCCAACTTAAAGCCCTGATAACTTCTGATCTGTTCTCCATCACTTTGATTTTGTCATTTTGAGAATATTACAGTAATAGAATAATACATTATGTAACCTTATGATATTGTTTTTTTGGGGTATTTTCACTTTTAAAAAAACTTTTGCCATTCTAATAACAGTGTAATGTTGGCTTATCCTGACCTTAATTAGCATTTCCCCAATGGCTAATGATGTTGAATCTCTTTTCATATGGTTACTGCCATCTGTATACCCTCTGGCAAGTATCTGTTCAAGTCTTTTTTCCTATTTTCAAATGGGATTATTTATTTTCTCATAGTTGAATTCTAGAATTGAAATGATATGGACTGATTTCTCAAATCCACAAACTGGTAAAAAACAAAACAAAACAAAACTTCACCCGGGATGAAATTAGACAATCTGACTATGCCTATAACTACTGAATTCGTGGTCGAAAACTGAATTCATGATCAAAGAAATTGAATTCATGCTAAAAACCTTCTGGAAAAAAAGTACTGGATCCAGATGTTTTCATGGGTGATTTCTACAAAAATTTACAAAATCTCTTCTAGAAAAAACAGAAGATGAGAAAACATCTCAACTCATTTTCATAAGGCCAGCTTTTTACTGACATCAAAACCAAAGACAGTAGCACCAAAGTAGCAAAACTAAAGACTCTTATGAACATAGCCGTAAAATAAATATTCCTTGTGAATATAGATGCAAAAATCCTCAACAAAATATTAACAAATAGA